CCCATCAGCCTGAGATGGCATAGCCTATGTTCAGGCATGATGGGAGGTATAGTCCAACAACATCTGAAAGACCACAGGTTCATCTTCCCTAATCTAAATGAATGTCTTGGTCTACACCAAGTCTCCAGTAGAAGCCCTGCATTGGATTGGGTTGGATGTGAGTAGAGGGCCTACTTGGTGGTGATGCCAAGTTCAAGAATTCATTTTCTAAGATTACTCTGCGATGCCTGGTTAATTTTCTCACTGTCTGGCATTTCATCAGAGAACTCTAGGGATTTGGATTGATTTACCTGCTGCTACCATTGCAATGTTACTAATGCCTTGATTACTTTTTAGAAAGTATTGGATTTTGAAATATGGTTTTACACAACTATCAGGGTCCCTTTTAGGAATGGAAAGTTCAATTTCCTCTCGAATTCACATGTTCATCTATGATAAACCAGCTCCGAAACTTAACTACCAAAGTGAGTGTTTTGAGCAGCAAGTCACAGTTCTGACTGCTTCGCACTTAAACAAAAGTAATGATAGTTGGGGTTTTTTTGTGTGAAGTCTGCCTTGTTTATTCCAGCTTTGATTGTTAGAGATATAATTTTCCAGTTCTAGTTTTTCTTCTATGTCTGCTTTTCCTGGCTGAATTTGTTCTGGTCTGCTGCTAAAATGGTTTTGGTTGGCTCTCCTGGACAACAGTACTTTTGTTTTCAATTGTTTTTTTATCTCCTGTTCACTCTATTGCTCAGTTCAATTCAGGTTTATTAACAGTCCACAGAGAGCAAATATTTGATTCTATATGATGAAGGGAAAACTCTAAAATACTATCTGTCAGTTTTGGCTCGTGTTTCTCATATTCCTATTCTTCGGTTTGTTACATTTCCACTTGAAGTGTCTGTGTGTTGTTTGTTTGTTTTAAGTGCCCGCTAATATTCATATTAGCATTTTTGTGTGCAATTTTGCCTAATAAACACACCTGTGCATTTAATTCAGCCAAATTTGCAGTGAAGGCTACTCAACTTAGACAAAGCCATGTGACCTCCATTGAGACCTTCAGACTCTGCTTTTTTATGTATATTTATTGTACAGGTCAATTTTTATCTTTAAGTATGTTTTTTATGTATTATTTATGTCCATAAGTTTCTGTTTGGCATTATGTTGCCTTAATAACAAATCTGAATTTGAGATATACAAATTTTGGCAAGCATTTCCCCAATATAATATTTTTTAATGTTATATTTTGCTAATAGACACATTTTTAGGTGCAATTTCCCTGATATATGTGTTTGGGAAGGAGGGGGGAATTGGAGAACTATATCACAAAATTCAGAGAAGTTTGAATTTTGAAGGATAGCTACATTTCAGCTTGGCTGTTATTTTGGGAAATGCAAGTTAGGGAGGTTTGTATGAAAATGGAAAACAAAACCCAATTTCTCCCCATCTCTACAAAATACAATTGACTCCCTAGGAGCCTCCACACGGCTTAATCTGGGTATTGATACTACCCAAACTATCCAAGGCCCTAGGGTTATAATGAATTATTATTACTATTATTATTGTTGTTGTGTTGTTGTTGTTGTTTTTGTTTAGTCGTTTAGTCGTGTCCGACTCTTCGTGACCCCATGGACCAGAGCACGCCAGGCACTCCTGTCTTCCACCGCCTCCCGCAGTTTGGTCAGGCTCATGTTTGTAGCTTCGAGAACACTATCCAACCATCTCATCCTCTGTCGTCCCCCTTCTCCTTGTGCCCTCCATCTTTCCCAACATCAGGGTCTTTTCCAGGGAGTCTTCTCTTCTCATGAGGTGGCCAAAGTATTGGAGCCTCAACTTCACAATCTGTCCTTCCAGTGAGCACTTCAGGTCTGATTTCCTTAAGAATGGATGCGCATTATTATTATTATTATTATTATTATTATTATTATTATTATTAATACCACCTTTATTGTCATTGTACAACCTGTGTACAATGAAAATAAATGAGCCTCCCCCCAAAAAAGCAATCAGTCTCATTGCACTCTGTGTGCTTATCGAACAAAACACCACCTCGCAAGTCAATTTTGCTATGTTATTTTCTGTTCAACAGCCTAACAGCCCACGGATAGAAGCTATTTTTTAGTCTGTTGGTATGGCTGATTATACTTCTATATCTCCTGCCCGAGGGTAGAAGATTAAAGAGGTGATGTCCAGGGTGTGAGTCATCCCTGAGAATTTTTCTCGCTCTCCTAAGGCAATGATCCCTTGCGATGTCACCGAGTGGACTCAAGGGACAGCCAATGCTATCATATGCTGTGTTCACCACCCTCTGTAGAGACTTTCTGTCCGTGGCTGTCAAGCCAACATACCACACTGTGATACAATATGAGAGGACAACTTTCTTTTGTGGACCGGTAAAAGGAGTTGATCCATTGTTGTTTAACATTATTCTTTCGCAAGAATACTCATTGTCTGCAATGACGTTGTAGATATATTAGGTAGTATCCGAGTAGCTCGTTTAGTCAGCGCAAGGATTTCCATTTGTGCAACAGATCTTCCTCCTCTCCTTTCCCTGTGTGCCCCCTGAGCCTTCACCAAATCTGCTCTGGAGTGTTGCAGGGCGGGGTGGGGGTGGGGACGGGGACGGGGGGGCGGGACCAGAAAGGATTTAGAAAGAAAGGGCCAATGACACCATGTTATAATGCTGTCGTTTTCCCAGGAGCCTTTGCTTTTCATTCCAAAGCTGACTGACCAAGAAGGACTGCAAAAATCTTGCCCCCCCCCCTCCTGGAATCAATGGAAATTGCCAGGCTGAATGCCAGCACTGGTGATACTTTCTGGATTCCCCCAGAGTTCTCAACTGGCTATTCCTTTTTGTGCTATATTCCTTTCCATTACAGTACTGAGTTTCAGTGGCTGAGACACCCACAGTGTATCAATGCAGCTGGAAGCCTCAGATTTTGGAGAGAGTCCAACAGAGCTGGTAAGATCCCAAAAGCTCGAGGTTAGACAGGCAATGTGTTATGCTGAGCTTCACCTCAGGGCATGTCTGAATCTCCAACAGGACAAGTAATGATGTCTGAGATTGAGACTGAGATTTCTGATCTCAGATCACATGACAATAGGAGACAGCCATCTCCAGCTACTACTGCTCTCAGTTCATTTCATTTCATTTTTTCTCTCTGGCTCTGGCTCTTTGCCCTTTCCCTCCTTGTAATATCTGCTGCTGCAAACTTTGTAAAATGATGCCACAGGAGACTGAAGTGTGGAGCACACAGATTTTGCTTAACACCGTGCAACTCTTAGTACGGCTGCTGTAAAGCAGCATCTGTCAGAGGCTGCAGTTCTCTGCAAAACTGTCTTCAGGAAAATCAGGGTTCTAAAGGACACGACTACCTGCCTAAGTTTCCAGAAAAGCACCCTGTTGCATAGATTTCCCCAGCCTGGAGTGAAACAGGAATGATGCCAGAGACACTAACAATCAGATGATTGTCAGGGCTTGTAAACTGGATGGGCTGGTCTGACTCAATATAAAGGAGCTCCAGTTATCTCACTCTCAGGCTAACTGGACCTAATGCCACATGCCACAATATAGACAGGTTCAAGCAATTAACTGAAAGCACCCCACAGCAGGGGTGGGCAAGGGTGCTCAAACAAGGCCCGCCTCCAACATCCCTGTGCACACTAGAGCCAGCTTTCCGATAAATGAGCAGGCAAAGTTCTGGAGGGAGACTTTTGTTCATATTTGCTTGAACATGGGTACAGCCCTCTATGCAATCAGGGTCTTAATTTTATCATGGTTCCCAGTTACACAGGCAGTTCTAGGTGCGTTCGAGCAAACCTGAGTAAAATCTCCATGCACACCTTCCCTGTTCAATGCAGTGATGTCAGGGACTGAGAGCAGCTGAAGGTGGGATGAACAGGTGAAGCCAACATTTGTCAAAGGGGTTTCATTGGGACAGAGCTTGGATGCCCCCACACTTGCTTTTAAACATTGCATGTTCAGGAGAATGTGTGAACAGAGTTCTGATGATATCTAATATAACATGTACAGTGGTACCTCGGTTACAGACGCTTCAGGTTACAGACTCCGCTAACCCATAAATAGACTCCACTAACCCATAAATAGTACCTTGGGTTAAGAACTTTGCTTCAGAAATTGCACGGCGGCAGCGCAGTGGCAGCAGGAGGCCCCATTAACTAAAGTGGTACCTCAGGTTAAAAACGGTATCAGGTTAACAATGGACCTCCGGAATGAATTAAGTTTGTAACCAGAGGTACCACTGTATACAGTGAAGCCTCGGGGTACGTTGCCTTCGGCTTACGTCACCCTCGGCTTGTGACCGGCAGACAGCTTTCCAGGTCATGTGGCCAGCATGACTAAACTGCTTCTGATGCAACTGAACACTGTGACAGAAACCAGAGTGCACAGAAACACTGTTTACCTAATTGCACTGGTGTGCTTTCGAACTGCTAGGTTGGCAGGAGCTGGGACAGAGCAACAGGAGCTCACCCCATCATGGGGATTTGAACTGCTGACTTGTGGAATGGCAAGTCCAAGAGGCTAAGTGGTTTAGACCAAAGCGCCATCTGTTTACACCCAGGTCAGTGTGCACAGGTATTATAACCCATCCCCCCAAGCTTGTGTTTTCAACCAGCCGTAAATGGGTTTATCTTATCTTCTTCACTCTTAGTGCTGTTTTCTTAAAACAAATTTCTCCCAGAAGCACAGTATGCATCAAATTTTTTTCAGCATCCACCTTGTCATCAAGGTGTTAAACATTTATTTTGCCTTTGCAAAAAGAGAAAGAGAAAAGGAGCTAGCCAGTCACACTGCATCATAATCCTGTGAGAAAAACTGGGAACACAGGTAACGAAAATAAAGCCAAAAACTGCAGGAGGCGATTGCTGCAAAGAACCAATTAAATACAACTTTAGGTGAGCGAGTCACAACAAGGTGTCATCATAATGGTTGCAATTTGAAAACCAGAAAAAGGAACAATTCATTAGGGTAAAATTGCATTGATGCCACAGCTTACCTTATACAGCAAAGGCAAACGTCCTAGCTTCAGAAGCGCAATTTTCCTGGAGACATTTGCAGTATTTTGGATCCTGAGCAAATCTTCTGCAGTCCCGTACTGCACATCAAAGACTTCAGCCTGTATAAACAGAAATAGATGCTATTTATTAGTGTATTCTTTCTCAACACATTGAGGATCAGACAGATGGTAGCTACCAAGAGGCAATTCACAAGCAGTATAGGGTGGCAATCATGTTATTACACAGTGACAATCATATTTGCTGTTTGATTTACATGTGGCTAAACATGCCTACATGGTATCTGCACCAGTCCGTAGGTGTTTGCAAACACAAATATTTCATTTGTATGTGCTACATTTATATAAATATAGACAAAGAGCCTAAATATAGACAAAAGAGCCAAAAAGTAATGTGTGTAGCAGCCTTCAGTGAGAAGCAGTGGTGTCATTAACCACAGACTTGGGGGGATCAAAATCTTGGGTGCCACCCTGCCCTTAGCAGTAAAGACACTCATGCTCACTAGTGCCTGTCTGCTGCCTTGGATTATACAGTCATACCTCGGGTTACAGACGCTTCAGCTTGCGTTTTTTCGGGTTACGGACCCGCCAAAACCTGGAAGTACCGGAACGGGTTACTTCCAGGTTTTGGCGGCCACGCATGTACAGAAGCGCTAAATTGCGCTTTGCGCATGTGCAGAAACGCACATGTGCAGATGCGCCACTGTGGGTTGCCAACACTGTGGGTTGCGAACATGCATCCCGCACGGATCACGTTCACAAACCGAGCATCCATTGTAGTACTCATCTGACCTCAGTATTTGCCTCCATGGCAGTCTAAAGAAGTCTAAAGCCAGCAGTAGTTCTTTACCTAGCCTGCCAAATGTGTTTTTTCATAGCAACTTAACAACTTGGGACCAGTTTACCTATAAGATCACTTTGCACCGCATGTGCACACTCGACCACTTCGATTGGTGAAATTGGCACAACTGCAAGTGCCACATAATACCTGTTCCACATATAGAAGAATACAATCATTTAATGCGGCAGAACATACACTTTGGAATTCCCTGCCTATTGAGATCAAGTCGGCTCCTTCACTGTACTATTTTCGGTGACTGCTAAGACCATTCCTACTTGGCCTACTGAGATGCTGAGAAATGCTGATGTGGAAAACTGATTTCAAGGAGGTGTAGGATATTGTTAGAATGGGAAACCAAAGATGAAAAGGTTAAATCTGCTGTGATCCATTGGGTTAGGGATGTGGAGCATAATGTAGAATTAGAATCATGGGGAAAGTTATGGAAATCCGGGTTGAAATTCACAGCATGTTCTACCCTGAGGGAAAACTTTATGAAAATGATGTGTAGATGGGACCTAAGACAAAGTAAATTAGCCAAAATGTATAAATCAATGTCAAATATTTGCTGGAAATTTAAAGAAGCAGAAGGCTCATTTTATCACATGTGGTGGACATGTAAGTATCTAAGGACTTTGGGGAGATGATTTATAATGAGTTGAAATAGATATTTAAGGTAACTTTCCCAAAAATACTGGAAGTTTTTTTTACTAGGGATAACTAGAGCAGAAAATCGTGTCCTCCCTAAAAGAGGGCACATGTTGCGGTGAGACCTGGAGACTGACCTCCTGGTTGTGGGTGGGTCTATTGGACAGCCACAACACCCGATTGGTAGGTCCCTCGTTGCTGGGTTTAATCTGGCCAATGGGGTGCAGTCTAAATGGATCGAGGGACCTATATAAACCCATGTACATGTCCCAGAGCTTCCTCTTTAGGCTCGTGTATCTGAACACCCGCCCACCTCTCCCTAATTTTAGGGCATTTTGCAATTGACCTTGCTATGTCGTTGTGTGTCCTCTGTCGTTGGGATAGGGGCACGGCATTAATTTTTCCCCACTTGGCTGATGGGCCATTGCCATTTGAGTTTTGCCTGCCATGTAGCAATTCGTAACAACTTGTAAGGTTGCGGATAGGCTCTGGTTCATGTGATAGGGATGGGAGAATGGTCTCACCATCTCTATGTGAAGGGTATTCCATTAAAGAAATCCAGGAACTCAGCTTGTTTGGTCAACCCCCAAAAAGGGATTGTGCCCATGCCTGAGTCCAGGGCAGCATCTGAGGAGTGAATAGAGTCTGCTCCCAGGCTTTTCACCTGCCTCAGGTGTTCACCCTTGGCTGGCCTGTGATAGAGCTCTGGGTCAGCGCTACCTGCAAGTGTGTAGGGAGCTAGTCGAACCAGAGCCTATGCGACCACTAACCTTTCTGTTATCAATCAAGTTGTGGCCTAAATTCTGCCAAAAATCCAAAACTAAAATTGGAGTCAAATGTGTCTTTATTTAGGGGAAGGTCTCTGAACACGCAAAACAGATAAATCTATTTCTTTACACAACCACAGCAGCATGAATGGCAGCTGAGTTTACAAATTATGGTAAAAGTTTCTGAACGCACTGTGTGAGCTTGGAGTGGTCAAACTCAGACATCCTCTCTGATCAAGTTCACTTAGTGGAAGAGAACAAACAGTGGAAAGAAGGCTAATGAAAGAACTTTCTCAACTGTCCATCACCAGACATGAGGGAGCGTGACCTGGTCAGGTCTAGAAACAACAGCATACTCTGTAGTCTTAACCCCTTTATGCATTTAACTAGAGTTAAACATGCTAGCTGTATGAAACTGCATTTCCTACAAGACGGGCTGCTGCCATGATTTCTAAAGAAGCAGACTCTAGTAACTGAATGCTTATGCTGCAGTAAATGTTTTAGTCTTTAAGGTACAGTACAATATTTTTGTTGTATTCATCTAGTGCCCCTTTCAGTACATTGGTAGGTGTGAGAAAACAAGGACTGATATTTCTAGTCCTTAAACGATTCTCAGGTGGTTTGTGGTCTATACAAGACACTATAATGGAAAAACCTAAAAATGCATATGTATGATGCAAGTGTTTCCTGGAGACAGGATGTTATTCCTGTTAATAATGTATTCCACACTTACAGTACACATGGTGCTAATGCACTTTTGTAGTGTGTGTACTTTTGTACAATAAAATAAAATAATCCAACCATAATGAATGGAGTGGATTCTGTAATGCTTTTAGCTTTCACTTCTGCTGATGTTAAAATGGTATAATCCTGATCTTTATACATTCTGAATATGAAAGCAGAATCGCTGGTGGCAAAGTACAGATAAACTGCTTTCCTTGAGGGGGAAAATAATGCTATTTGAAAAACAAAGAGGAACACAGCCTTTTATCAGCTGCAGAAAAAAGAACACTTGTGTGTTTGCTTTAGATATGCCAAGGTAAATCCTCTTATACCTAAAACTGTGGCGCTGCTAAACACTTTGATTCATCCATTCAAATGGGGTGCTTACTCTCTAAAATGCAATCTGTGGACTGAAAAGCATATGTATCTCCAGCAAAATCCAGCTTTGCACTAGATGGAATGAATAAATGGCATTCTTAGAATCAGAACAACAAAAGCTTTGATCAGAGAATGCATTAATAGGGGTGCTCCCGTACTTTTCTGAAGATATAGCTAGGGCACCTTTATATTTGTAAAATTGTTTTGTTGCATCCTTCCATGTAATTTGAGAACCTCTGGGATTGGTCTGATTTCTGCTAGGAGTGCTATTGCTCCCTACATCTTAACTCAGGTTCAAAGTTCAAAGTTCCTCTCCAGGAAAACAAAATTGCTAATGGTTAACAATATTGTCTCATAATCTCCCTCCTCCATGTAGTGAGCATGAAGAAGACGGAGACATGCTATTGGGTGCCAAAGAGGAGGCAGAACTGCTGAACACCAACTTTGCCTCTGTCTTCACTCAAAAGGAAAATAGTGCTCAACCTGGTGATAATAGAATAAATGATCTAAGGAGAAAGCTACAGCCCAAGATAGGAAAAGAGGTGGTAAGGGAGTACCTAGCTATTTAAATGAATTCAAATCTGCAGGGCCTGATGAGCTGCATGCAAGGATATTAAAGGAGCTTGTGGATGCCATCCCACAGCCTCTGTCTATAGTCTTTGAAAATTCTTGGAGAACAAGTAAGGTTCCTTCAGACTGGAGATGGGCAGGTGTTGACTCCATCTTAAAAAACTGGGGGAAATTAGACCCAGGTATCTACTGACCGATGAGCTTGATGTTGATACCAGGAAAGATCCTAGAACAGATAAGTAAATAGTTGGTATGTGAGTACTTAGAAAAAAGGATGCTGCGATTACTAAGACCCAGCATCGGTTTATCAAAAAACAAGTCATATCAGACAAATCTCATTTCATTTCTTTTCTTTTTCTTTTTTTTTTTTGATAGAGTTACAAGTTTAGTGGATCAGGGGAATGCTGTGAATGTAGTGTATCTTAATTTCAGTAAGGCTTTTTCAAAGTCCCCCATGATATTCATCTGGAGAAGCTGGTAAAAGGTGGACTGGATGAGATAACTGTTCATTGGATTTGTAGCTGGTTGAGTGACCAAACCTAAAGAGTGCTCATTAATGGTTCGTCATCATCCTAGAAAAAAGTGACAAGTGGGGTGACACAGGGTTCTTTCCTGGGCCCACTGTTGTTCAACATCTTTCTAAATGACTTGGAGGAAGGAATTGAAGGAATGTTCATCAAATTTGCAGATGACATCAAAGTGGGGGACATAGCTAATGTTGCAGAAGACAGAATAGGGATTCACTATTATCTTCACAGATGGGAGAACTGGGTCTGAATGAACAAAATGAATTTCAATATGGACAAATGTAAGGTTCTGCATTTAGGCAGGAAGAACCAGATGCACAAATATAAGATGGGGCACACCAGGCTTGCCAGTAATACATGTGAAAATGATCTAGGGGTCTTAGTAAAGGTAAAGGGACCCCTGACCGTTAAGTCCAGTCATGAATGATTCTGGGGTTGTGGCGTTCATCTTGCTTTACTGGCCGAGGGAGCCGGCGTACAGCTTCCGGGTTGTGGCCAGCATGACTAAGTCGCTTCTGGCGAACCAAAGCAGCACACGGAAATGCCATTTACCTTCCTTCTGGAGCGGTACCTATTTATCTACTTGCACTTTGACGTGCTTTCAAACTGCTAGGTTGGCAGGAGCAGGGACCGAGCAACAGGAGCTCACCCTGTTGCAGGGATTCGAACTGCCGACCTTCTGATCAGCAAGCCCTAGGCTCTGTGGTTTAGACCACAGTGCCACCCACGTCCCCTAGGGGTCTTAGTAGACCACACATTAAACATGAGCCAACAGTGTGACACAACAACAATAAAAAAGAGTCAATGCTATTCTAGGCTGCATCAACAGAAGCATAGTGCCCCGATCAAGTCATAGTACCACTATTTTGCCTCAGTCAGACCACACCTAAAGCCCCACCACAGTTTTAGAAGGCTATTGACAAACTGGAATGTGTGCAAAAGAGGGTGACCAAGTTGATTGAAGGTCTGCAATATAACTTAATTGATATGCTAGTGCAAGCATTAGCACTAGTGAAATGGGTTTTCCACTATGTGCACTCCATGCCATCCCCAATTTTTATCCATTGATTGCTTTCTCCTCCAAGAATTTGTCCAATCCTCATTTAAAGTCATTCCAAGTTGGTGGCCATCACTGTTTCTTGTGGGAGTGAGTGACTTCTCTTAACTATTTGCTGCATGAAGTACTTCCCCCCCCCCATATCCTGAATCATTTTGATAAAATTCTATCATGCCTTTTCTCTAGACTAAAAAGTCCAAAATGCTGCAACCTTTCTTCACAGGGGAGTTGCAAGATTCAAACCAGGAGCTCATATATTCAGCCTCAGTCTTAAAGGCACCACACAGTACAAAGTGGGGGAATTTGCTGGGGGTGAAGAAAATCTGCAATGCTCTTTGCACTGCAATATGTCTAGGACTTGATGAAGTGTGCTATTATGACAGTCATTTGAAGGCACTTGCTATTTTGAATCCACCAAGTTTATTTACTGGCTGATTTTGTCTCCTATTTTACCTGATCTTGAAAATCAATGCACTTATGATTTCATCGGGGGCGGGGGGAGCTGGCAAAGTTCTGGCACAGAAATTTGTGTTTCTATTTCAACTGGAGCATTTTTCTGAGTCTCTCCCCCCCCCCCCCTCATCCTCCACTGCTCTCCCTCAGCTATTAATGTACATTTCAGAGGCTCATATCCTTTCAGAGGTTAAACCTAATATGTCTGAGATTGCCGTGCTCTTTGTTTCACAGGATCTGACAGAACTCATTGAAAGCTCGGGGAAATATATTTACATTTTCTTTAATATTTGACACGATGCAAAGCTTTATCCTTAGAGGAAAAAACTACAGAAGAGAAAAAACCCCATAAAAAGAGTCGTTAGCAAATAAATACATCTGAAGTAAAATGTGAATGGTGCTAAAAATGTAAAGGAAACATAGCAAAAGCAATCCCCCTCCCACAGGCAAAGTCTTATTGGGCCTTATATCTCCTAGATAACAAACCTGGCCATTTTTCATTGGACTAGAAGCTGCTAGAAAAGGAAGAATTGGTTCTCTATTATCTTTCAGTTTATCCTCTCCCCTAAAACAAGAAGGCGCCTAAACTTATCATGTTGGATATATACATCTCATTAATGGACTTTAACATTTTACTTTTTTACAGATAAGCAACAATGGAGATTAACCACCTCTATACAATATTTAAATCAACATGTTCCTATAGAGTGAGGGCTTTGGCCTCCTCTTAATGTGATCGTCCATCTCCAGATTCTCTCTCTGCTTCCACTGTGTTTCACTTCCATGTGAATGTACACAACACAACACAAACCCCTCCAACTGGGCAAGCAAAAGGCTTTTTCATAGTTCTAGGAAACATTCCATTCAGGGAAAAGCACCCTGGGGGGTCTCAAGGGTTGGATGGATAGACCAAGAGGGTCACATTCGATTCATGGACCAGAGTTCCATCAGCCCATTTGGTGTTAGTGCTAACAGCTAAGTTGTCCCATTTTGGTATGAAAAGGTCTTAAGGCCAGTGCTGAGCAGGAATCCATGGTATGGCGAGAGGAATGGTGATGTGGTCTCAGAAAGGTCCCCATGGTTACTGCTTTTGTAGGTACAGGAAAAAATGCAGCTGTTTTTATATTACTAGGGCTATTCTGTTTCCGTTCCAAATTAATTTCTGTAATGTTTAATTGGAAACCCCTCTCTGGAAATGGCTACCCGCTGAATGCCTTTCGTTATGGACTCATTTTTGAGGCTGCCAGAAGTTTATTTTTTAAGAGCTTGGCTCTGTTTGCTTTTCGTTAAACATGATGCAAAATACCACACAAAATATGCACTTCTGGCAATGTGATGAAAGATATCGTTGAAAAGTTGTGTCGCAGAAAATTCAGAAAGCGTTTTTAGAGGGAAATGCTTTCTGTACTGGGAGTCTGGAGAAAAGAAAGATTTTCCAAACTCCCTTCCTATTGAGTTATAATTCATGAGGCTTTCTAGTCACAAACACAACGCATCAAGAAGTAATTCTTTTCCCTCCCACAGACCTGAAATATGATGAATCATCTATTTTAATGTGCATTTCACAAGCAACAGGGTCGCGATCTGCGAAATCATACACTGACCCCACCTGTTATTATAATGGGGTAAACACTGTCACTTTGCCAGCCTACAGCAAATTACACAGAGGTAGCAAAAGTGGGTCATCCATCACTGGCACTAAGTTTGTTTTCAAAAAGAAGATTTCATATACCATGCCTGCCGTTCAGACTGTTACTAGAAAGCACAAATTGGGAGATTCAGGTACAATACGGCCACAAGATGAATGGACATGACAGGCTTTCAAAGAAGCAGAGTGCGGCTGTTCTACAAATAACATTGTCAGAAACCAAAGCAGTCCTGCTGTGAGTGTCTGGCAGTGAGCCACATTTTGTACAGCCATTAATAGCTCTTTCTGCTGGTAGTTCAAGTGAAGAAAAAGACAACAGCAACAGGGATAAATCAATTACATGCAACTGGATGTGTATGTGTGTGCATTTGTGTATGTCTGTGTCTAGGTTGGAGTCGGTGGTGGTAGTGGTTTGAGTGTTAGACTAGGACCTCAAGTTCAAACCTCTACTCATTGAGTGAAACTCACTGGATGACATTGGGTTAGTCATTGTCTTTTAGCCTAACCTACCTTGCATAGAATCATAGAACCAGAAAACTGTAGCAATGGAAGGGACCCCAAGAGCTCCCTAGTCCAAGCTTCTGCAATGCAGGAATCACAGCTAAAGAATCCATGGCAGATGGCCATCCAATCTCTGTTTAAAAACCTCCAGTGAAGGAGAGTCCACCAGCCATTGATGCTGCCATGATATACAGTACAAGGATTGCAAATTATATGCAGACTTCTCCATAGACTTCAAAATAAGTCTTTGATCTGATTAATGCCCTGATCTCAAAGATCTAAGCAGCTTTGGCAGCTTGTAGAGTAGCTTGCACCAACACAATATTAACTGCCTAGATTCAGATGGTACAGAGGTGTAATTAAGTAAACTGAAGTGGTAGGACTTTTCTCTGCTGAAAGCCATAATTCTCTGTACACTTCCAGGAGGCTATTATGCAGCATGCTTACCAGATGGATCTTCAGTTCTGGAGGCCTACAGAGATTTGGAACACACATTTCCCAAGAGCAGGTGTGGGTGCTTATAAATTTATCTTTCCCCCCAAGCTCCTTTTCTATGTACCAGATGAGGATTACAAACCCTCCGGGCTTGGACTGTTCATTCCGATGCTCTACTCCGCACCTAGCACTAAATAAATGTTAAATAGCAGTAGCAGAGATTGTCATGTGTGTGCAGTTGTGCAGTACCTGCAGATGTGCCCAGCTGAGAAAATCACTCCCCTAGAGCAAATGATAACATCATGTAAACCAAATGTTTCTGATGTTTCAGGTTTGGGTTTCTGCCTATTCCAGGCCTGTGGCTGAACATTATCATGCATCACAGCCTAGTAAGCATCTTGGTTCTGCACTCCTGACTAGATGAGATTGCAGAAGTTTCATGTTGTTAAATATGGACTGGCTCAATCATGTAGGAAGGAGGTGGGTCTCAAGAGTTCCATTTTAAGAGCAAAAGGGAAAGCATAAGTGAACAATGGCCATAGTTCAGTGGTGAAGGGCAGGGAATAAATTTAATTAATTAATTAATAATAATAATAATAACTGAAATCAATAACATCATTTCTACCTAATGAGAGGCAGGTTTGTTACCTGTCCTGCTGGACAAAATGATAGAGGGAAAACTGAGGACTGGGAGCTTTGCACACAGGTGTTGTGCCGTCGATCTATGGTTCCTCCACATTCAGGTAAAGGCCAAACCTCCAGGTTGCAACCCAGCGGTCCTCAAAAACTTCATTTTAAAGGAATCTTTTGAAAGGTATGGTGGTGCTTAGCAGAGCTGCCTCATCAACTATAATCGAAGAATTTTAAAAATCCATCAAATGCTATTGACATGAATCTAAAAGAAGGCAGTTGACTCACCAAAAATATGAAGAATTCCAGCTTCCACTTAAAATGGTATAAAACATAAACAGAGATGGATCATGCCAAAAATTGAGTCATAAAGCATACTATATCTTAAACCCACACCTACTTGGCTTCTTTTGAGCCTTGCAAACAATACATCATCCCATTGGTTTAAATCTAGATGGAAGCTGTTTCTTTCTATTTCCTCCCCCCACCAAAATGACAGAGACAAATGGTTACATTACCGTGAGAGTTCCTTTGGCAGAGTAAGCAGCATAGGAGTAGAGAAGGTCTTGACTGTGAAGCATTTTGGTCTCTTTGCTACACAGCTGTCCATTAGGATAAAAGCATTCACCAGTGCTATTCAGAGTCACTGTATTTGGAGAAGCGCCCGGCAGGTCAAGGAGGACAGAGTAATTTACGAGCTGGACATCTTCAAGGCCGTAGGATGTCCACTGAGCCAGCAGCTTCATTGCAATATCTCTATCTTCTTTCCCACGCAGCTGTATCAAATCTCTGACAACAAAGAAACAACAACAGAAGTACTCGATTAACATGTTGGATTTCTCCAATGCCTCTTCACTTTTCTGATAAGAAGCCTCTGATTTTATTTGTATGATGCCTAGAATCTAGAAAATTTATTGTGCCTAATTCTCCAACCATCTTATCACAAGAAGCAGGTGGATATATCACATTAAGAATTTCAGGAGGCCCATTGTATTAGCCCAGTCTTCTGGTTGTTTTGTAAAACATGACGCTAGTCTTCCAAGAATATAGGATCACCCATCTGGACAAACAAAAGCTAACATCATATACGAGGAAAACAAGGGACTCGTTCAGACATGGATGCTTTTAGGAAGCTGCCCTCCTGGTCAGTGGTGTAGCATGGGTGCAAAATTATGAGGGGGTGCAACAGGCATCGGCTTCCATAGAAATCCACACCCTAGCAAAGGCAGCAGAGCAGCTCAGGCCCACAGAGAGCGGACATGAACGGAGCAAGGCAGGCAGCATAGTGTGCAGTGGTGGAGCTTCATGCTCTGGCACCGGGGGCAGAGAGAAGGTGGGGGCATGGCTGATGCATGCCCTGGGGCATGGCATGCCACCCGCAGGGGCGTGGCACACGTCCTGGGGGCATGGCACCCAGCACGGGGGGGGGGGCAGCCATGATGGAACCCCACTGGGATCGTGGTGCCAGGGGCAGTGTGCTCCCCCTGCCCCCTCTTCCTCCACCAGTGATAGTGTGGTGTTCTTCCCCGCGGCATCAGGGGGATTTGCCCACCAAAGGCTGTGTCAGCCAGATGGGCTCTCCCCCTGCAGGCTGAGCAGCACAGCCCTGCTTGGCTCTGGTGGGGGGCGCTCCAGTAGTGTCAGCAGCTTACCTGCCCAGGGTGCCAGCAACCCACACTACGCCACTGCTCCTGGCACTTTCCTGATGTTTGGGACTACAACTGCCATCAGTCCCAACCAGCATAACCAATGGGAGGCACTGGGTTGGAGAAAGCTGTGTTTTGTTCCTAGAATTAAGATAACAAGATAGCCTCTCTCTTTTTGTTAAACGTTTCCCCCCAAATTGTCCCTTGTTATGAGTGGAGATGCCTTTTGACTAAATGTAGCTGAAATTCTCTGCAGCTGATGAAAGTGAAAGGGTCAGAATGGGGTGGGTAGACACCGCCCAGTCAGCTGCCTTAAGGAGGAGAACGTGGTTGGTACACTTCTTAGGAAAGTGTCCTTTATACAAAGATCTGAAGAAACATTATCTGAAGCTCCTAACATTAGGACTTAGCAATGATTCCCCCTTTAAGGGTCTTATTGCACCAACAAACTTGCATTTAAAGCAGGAGAAGTTCTAGTTCCTTCTACATCTCTTCCTGGAGACCACTTTCTCTTGGAGGAATCACACAATGAACTTTTGCCCATGCTTCAGGTCATATGAGCTCTGAGAGTTGGGAGAACCTTCAGAATGGTCTTTAAGACAACATGAGGAGGGGCTGATTTAATGAGAAATGCAGAGAACCTATACACATATGGGCGCATGAGGGCACATGGGACTCTTAGGATATTATCCACCGTGTACACACAGCATATATGAGAGAACACAACAGATCCTATCTTGTTCCGGCCCAATAGCCAGAAACCCATTTTAAACAAATGAGAATGACATTCACCATCTGTGGCCTATTTTAATACCAAATAAAACACACACACACACACACACACGTTTGAAATGAAGTGGGCTTATGTTAAAGACTTGTGAGCTCTTTTCAAGAGGAATAATAGTCAAAGGTCAACTCTTTGGATTTAATCTTTTCCACTTTATCTCCAATAAGTCTTCAAACAGACTGCACAAAATAGACAAGTTAATCCAATCACTAGTACATTACAAGCTAGTGATTTCATCAGCTATGCCCTTTAAGGCAATGACACAAACTTGGACAGTCCCAAAACGCACAAAGTCGTTTGATTAACACAATTGCTACTTGAAGACCCACATTTCCCACAGGTATTGGAAGCATTAATAGAATAAATAATGGAAGTGAACTCATCCCATACAAATAAGATTGACGCAGTTCCCATCAGCCTGCACTTTGCTTCAGTGAGGGAGGTAGTTTTAAATGAAGAGCACAATTATGAAATTGTTCCTTTCACTATGAAATGAACGATGCTTTCCACTCTGTAATTAAATCAATACGCTATTGAAACTTTAGTGACAATATCCTTGATTGAATTAAAGCAACACAAGTGCATTCCTTATTTACTTCATAATTCCTTTTACAGAATATTTAAAAATCCTGATGCAAATCGTGCTCTAAGCTTTATTAAAACAAATCAGCAGGTATTAAGTGTTTTAATGACTCTTGGGAATATTTTAATCTAGCAAACAAACTCTTCAGAAGTTCTGCTAGCAAGGCTAAGGCTGTGATCCTAAGCCTTCTTACTGTGAAGGATATCCTTTTAGACCAATTTGAACATACCTCCAAGCAAATATGTTCAGGAGCACTGAGTTGTAAATGACCCACGTACTTCAACTTCACTGTTCTTGAAGTTTAAAAGTGATCTGCCATGGCCTTTGAATCATGCAGCAATCCAGGATCAGAGTCAGGGGCTACAGAGGCACCAACACAGGGCTCTGAGCCAGCTGCTGTGCCTGGGGCCATCAGATAGGAGCCCTCAGAAGAACCTCCCATACCACAAGGACCTGTAGGACCATTGCCAAGACCCTCACGGGTGCCTTCCCTTGTGCCTGAGGAACCAATGCCTTTCACAGTAGATTAGTCCAGCAGCACAGGACACACACCAGGTGGGAGGCAATGGAATGGAGAAAGGGTGTCCATCTTCAAGTCAGAAGGTTGGACCTTTCAGAACCTTAAGTTCTCCACATGGGGATGGAGCCTAGAAGAGGTAGTTTGGAGGCACGGGTTTCAAAGGCCTGCTGCCTTGTCCTGTGGATCCAGCATCTGACCAGAGCACAAAATGATCCTTATACTGAATGAGGACACAGTTTAGCTAAAGTTGGGTCTGGGTTGCCTTGGCAAGATAAAGCGACTAAGAAATGTAATTAATAATAATATAAAATAAAAAGTGAGCCCTCACTCAGTTCTATTGTAAGCTATAGAAATTCAGTTAATTGCAATTTCAATTTAACCCATTCTTTTCAACAGGATGTAAGAATAGCTGCATTTAGCTGCATTGGTGCCCATGGTGTTCATTTGATCTTTATAGGCTGGTTGACACATACATCTTGATTTCTCATTGCCTGAGTATTCAGCACTTGGTGATAGGATTCGAATATGCGAGCATGTTTCAATGTAGTGGTAGAAGAATATGACTCATTCTCACATATGCAAGTCATCCCTCGATTCTGCAGTGATAAAGCAAATAACATTCCAGTGTGATTCAATCTTTGTTATACAGGTTTGATACAACGAACCACTGCATGACTAGGGTAGCCATATTTTGAAGAGCAAAAAAGAAGACACATTTACCGACTTCTACTTTTAACCAAGGATCGCTATGACAACTCTATCCATGAAAAGGAGGGTGTGTCCTGGGAAAAGAGGACATATGGCAACCCTTTGTAAAAGCAGAAGACGTAAATTCACAATGTAAATAACCCCCAGCAACATTTAACTAAAGGATGGAAGGAAGTTGGGAATTCAGATGAATTTCCCATCTACATAATAAAGCAGGGGTACCTAGCATGGTGGCTTCCCAAAGATAGTGAACTAAAAGTTCCATCAGTCCCAGTTTGCATTGCCAAAAGTCAGGTTTGTTGGGAACTGTAGTCCAGCAACAACTGTAGGCCACCATGTTGTTAGGAGGGAAGGAAGGAAGAATGGAATTCTTTTCCTTTGTATCACTATAATGTCAAGTAAATATTAAATTCAAGCATTATTCTTGCATGGAAATAAGATGCTTTGCATTCTTTTCTGCAGAATATTGTGTTGTTTAACCCAATGGCTGTCAAAATTGTGTTCTAGGGAATTCTGGGGTTCTTGATTAGGATGAGTAAAACACATTCTAAATTCACTTGTGGCTGTGTCAAAGGCTTACTGGTCTTCGTGACAATGTGTACCTCATAATCTGTTGCCACCCAGAGAGGTTCCTTGGCCAGTAGGTTTACACGGAACATGTTTCCTGGAGGTAGAAAGTTTGAAAACCATTGGTTTCAGCTACCCAGAGATGAATCACAAAGGATTATAGTTCACAATCTACACCATAAAGCTTCAGCAATCTGAATGCTATTGTGTAAAGCAGTAAAGAGGCTGGAAGCCTCCTGAAGGGGATAAAACAATTTGTCTGTACAGCTCATCAGCGCTCAACAGTTATAAGGCTAGGATTCCCTGCCAGCACAGCAGCGTGACAGCCCCAAAAGGTGGAGGGATATGGCTTGTCTCTGAAGAAAAATGAACACTTACAGTACCCAGGCATTTTGATATAAAATAGGCATTAATGGAGGGAGTGAATTGGCTGAACCAGCATGCCTGGCATGCAGCGAGGAATAATTTGCTGCCGCTGGATCTTTTCTTACTCTTGCTTCATAAAACATACAAATGAAACTGACCAAAGGAAAGTGGTCAGATGGGGGTTGCGGTCCGCATTTTAAAACTGGGGGGTAGGGCTCCCACTTTTTCCATTGCAAGAAATGCAACCTTATTCCTAGGTTGGGGTAAGCTGGGTTGGCATGCAACCAAGGATACGGGGGCAATTGGCAGGCCCCCAGCTGGCTCCAGCCCACCGGCCGGTGTGCCAGGCAAACTCCAGTCCTTGGTACAGCATGAATCTGCGACCCAATTTTCAGAAGCTAGGGCACGCTACTAAGCAGAGTAAACGCTGCGCAAACAGAAATGGCAGAAGAGGCTGTGTAAGCATATTCACAAGCGTAAGGGTAAAAGGGCCCCTGACCATTAGGTCCAGTCGTGGCCTACTCTGGGGTTTCGGTGCTCATCTCGCTTTATTGGCAAAGGGAGCCAGCAGACAGCTTCCAGGTCATGTGGCCAGCATGACTAAGCCACTTC